ACAGGCCAGGTTCGTAGGGGAGTTGCTGCAGCACCATTTCTTGACGTAGAACGAACATTCTCAATTCCCGGTGTACAAAACCTTTCCGATGAAGAAAATCTAATGGCTTCACACAAGAACGGGCCCACGAAATAAATTCATCTGGAGTCATTGGAATGCCTGGTGATAAACTCTTAATATAGAGTTGTAGAAAAAAGGGGAAAGTTAATGATAAAAAGGAGAAGGTAAAAACTCTAGGAACAGCATTGTTAACAGTCTAACACTCCCCCTGCAGAAGCTTGGAAGAGTGAGCTTCAAATGCTGGACGAGCTAGAGGCTTGGTGAGGATATCGGCGATGTTTTCGGCCGACGCAACAGGACGAATGTCAGTCTCCTTCTTTTGAACAAGGTCGCGAACAAAATGGTAGCGGATGTTGAAGTGTTTCATCCATGATGCAGTGGATTAGATGCGGCTTGAATTGCAGAGCGATTGTCAACGTAGAGAACAAACGGAGCAATTTCCAATTGCAATTCTTGCAGCAATTGTCTTGTCCAAATCCCTGTAGACGCAGTGTCAGACAATGCGACGTATTCTGCTTCACACGAGGAGAGAGCTACAGTGGATTGCTTCTTGGAAGACCAAAGAATTGGACCACCGAGAAAGTAGAAGACGAATCTTGTTGTTGATTTGCACTGAGTTGCGGTTTCACCTCCCCAATTGGCATCCGAGAAGCCTGTGAGCTGTAGATCGGTTGTGCAACTGCTTTGAAAAATAATTCCGCGGTCACTTGTTTTCAGGAGATATTTGAAAATCCGCTAAATTGCATCTCAATGAACAGAGTCGTGGCACGTGTTGAACTGAGCGAGTTTGTGCACAGCAAAACAGATGTCGGGACGAGTGCTGTTGGCACGTTGGTAGATGAATTGAGGAAGATGGAATGATTAGAACGCAGTTGATGGAAGCCAAGTGAGGCAAGAAAGGTGACGAAGGTTGAGTTCCACTCCATTGGGCTTTAGGCCGTAAAGGGTTCATCGAAGTTTCCAAACATAATCTGGGTGATCGGAATCAACAAAGCCTGGGGGTTGTTTAACATAGACTTCTTCCTTTAGCTCACTGCTTAAGAAGGCAGTCACAACATCAATGTGATGGCAATGGAGATCGAAGTGGTTCATGAGCGCGAGCAGGATTCGAATACTGTCATACCGAATTACTGGCGCAAATGTTTCAGTCTTCTCCGAATTTCTGGGTCTTGAGCGACCTTGTATCGGCCTTTGCTGTCGTACTTGAGGCGCCATACCCATTTAACGCCGACGATGTTTTTGTCAGGAGGGCGAGGAACTAGGTCAAAGACGTTGTTCTTGACGATGCTGTTATATTCATCGAAGGTTCCGTGTTTCATTAATGTTGCGAGGGATGTCACTCTAGGATGATGTTCTCTGACTCACTCTATGGATGATGATGTTCTCTATGTTCTCTGACTCACTCTATGGATGATGTTTTCTGACTCACTGAATGGATGGTGTTCTCTGACTCATTCTATGGATGGTGTTCTCTGACTCATTCTATGGAAGGTGTTCTCTGACTCACTCTATGGATGATGTTCTCTGACTCACTCCATGGATGGTGTTCTCTGACTTACTCGATGGATGATGTTCTCTGACTCACTCTATGGATGATGATGTTCTCTATGTTCTCTGACTCACTCTATGGATGATGATGTTCTCTATGTTCTCTGACTCACTCTATGGATGATGTTCTCTGACTCACTGTATGGATGGTGTTCTCTGACTCACTCTATGGATGGTGTTCTCTGACTCATTCTATGGATGGTGTTCTCTGACTCACTCTATGGATGATGCTCTCTGACTCACTCCATGGATGATGTTCTCTGACTCATTCTATGGATGGTGTTCTCTGACTCACTCCATGGATGATGTTCTCTGACTCACTCTATGGAGGATGATGTTCTCTATGTTCTCTGACTCACTCTATGGATGGTGTTCTCTGACTCACTCTATGGATGGTATTCTCTGACTCACTCTATAGATGGTGTTCTCTGACTCACTCTATGGATGATGTTCTCTGACTCACTCCATGGATGGTGTTCTCTGACTTACTCGATGGATGATGTTCTCTGACTCACTCTATGGATGATGATGTTCTCTATGTTCTCTGACTCACTCTATGGATGATGTTCTCTGACTCACTGTATGGATGGTTTTCTCTGACTCATTCTATGGATGGTGTTCTCTGACTCATTCTATGGATGGTGTTCTCTGACTCATTCTATGGATGGTGTTCTCTGACTCACTCCATGGATGATGTTCTCTGACTCATTCTATGGATGGTGTTCTCTGACTCACTCCATGGATGATGTTCTCTGACTCATTCTATGGATGGTGTTCTCTGACTCACTCCATGGATGATGTTCTCTGACTCATTCTATGGATGATGTTCTCATGGATGATGTTCTCTGACTCACTCCATGGATGGTGTTCTCTGACTCATTCTATGGATGGTGTTCTCTGACTCACTCCATGGATGATGTTCTCTGACTCATTCTATGGATGGTGTTCTCTGACTCACTCCATGGATGATGTTCTCTGACTCACTCCATGGATGATGTTCTCTGACTCATTCTATGGATGATGTTCTCTGACTCACTCTATGGATGATGTTCTCTGACTCACTCTATGGATGGCGTTCTCTGACTCATTCCCTTCTTCCATTCCTCGACGTACATTCGAACTTACAAGAAATTCATTATCGTCCAGGTCAGTACAATCGTTCTCGGAAATGTTGCAAATAATAGAGAATGCAAAAGGGCAAAAGAGAAAAAACAACAAATATTGCTATTGAATTATTTGTTCACATTGATTTAGAAGCGCACTAATTTGCTGCAAAGTATCACACTGGAGCAATGGAACGGTATTGTTACCGCCGTCCATGAATAGCGCCATACATCTGAATGATAAAACTGGGAGTTGGGACATGATCATCTGTCTGAGCAACTCAATATCATGTCGAATTTCAAAAGTAGGAAGCGTTCGAATACTACGAGGCCAGGTTGCTAACGGAGACACTACTGGGGCACCAGCTCCACAAGCACAGTCAAAATCCATTAGAAAGAACTCCCTTCTTCCATTCCTCAACGTACAACGAACATTCTCAATTCGAATGTCCCGATGTACCCATTCTCTGCCATGGAGAAAATCTAGTGTCCTCAAACAGGAGCGGGCCCAAGAAATAAATTCATCTGGATTCATTGGAATGCCTGGCAATTCTAAACGATCCATTTCCACAGTGAGGGTTTCTGATTGAACCACCGAGTAGACCCTCAAATGTTGCCCGCTTGTGTCATCACGAAGAGCAGCGTAGATGTCTTGTACTGTTGGAGTCCATCGCCTGCACTCCTTCCGAACACGACCTTGTTGGATGGTGAACTCGCAGTATCCTGGAGGCTCCAGCGAACCCATACGAATTTCTTGATCTAGCTCCATCAGCGCAGGAATTAGGCAGCTGTTTAGATAAATACAGAAGTTAACCAAAACTGGGAGCAATGCAACACGCTCATCAGGAAACGTTAAATCGAATTCCGGCAACCGCAAATCGGCAGGGCGGCTCGGATCACTAAGATCTACCAATGGGTTGTGGACGCTGTACCAATAAAAGCGAAGACAGGAATCGGCACGCGTGCAAACAAGAATTGGAAACCGTTGGTTCGCAGGAGAGGCTCGTTGTAATTGGGTTCTTGCCAAATTCTCATCGGCGGTTTTTCTCTTCTCCGCGGAAAACAGGAACTGATCCGATCAACATACAAACATCTGGTCTGCGGATATTGCGATCATGTTGGAGTTCTGCTGCGTCTCGCCGTTGGTCGAGTCGAATTCCCAAAACCATCTTAAGAAGAATATCAATCGGGTTCTGCACACAATCATTGAATTGTGGCGTACCCAATGCTTCTGTAGGATGACCGCTGAATGGCACACGAGCTTGGTCGAGAACAATGCACAACTGCAACAGAATACCACCATGAAATCCTGTACGAGTGAAACTATTATTCTCCGGCAAATAATGGAGATCGGTTGGAATTGGGTAGCGTAACCGACTCTTCAGCACTCGAGAATAAAGCTCGGGCGTCATTCTCAACGCCTCGTCGCCGACAATTCTTTGAATATCAACTGGATCTAAAATACGAAGAACGTCCTGATGCAATGTATTGGCTTTATTTAAACCAGGCAACAAGAGATCGGGGATAATGCGACTGGGGTGGTTAGTTGCCAAACAAAACTGATATCTTCTGTGAATTGAAACGGAAGAATTCTCAATTGTATCAGGCGTGAGATCAGCCATTATGAATTGATGGTGTTTATTGGATCCCTGGAGTCTGTGACTGAAGAGCCGGTTTGTCCTGATGTCCCTCTCTGTAAACCACCTCGGAAATACAGCGAAAAATCTCAGAACAAATTTGATAGTGGTTTTTGTGCGATTTTTGTGTAGCGCAAATCTCGTTTTGGGACATGAACCAGTAAAATAATCTGCATTAAGTCAAGATCTTAACACCTCCCCAGATTGGAGCGAATCATGCTTCTTCGTCTGAGCTCATTGATGGAGCAGAGAGAGAATCGTACATGAAGGAATTTCGGAGGATCTTGAACCGTGGAGCTGCCAGGGGCTTGGTAAGAAGATCGGCGAGCATTCTTTCAGTTGAAACATAAGCGAGCGACATAAGCTTGGTGGAGTGAATGCAATTGAGGCGCAAAAATTGGCTGGAAACACAGGAGACAACGTTGACCTTCCTCCCAGACCATCTTTGGTTTTTTTTTGTACAACCCGAGGAGGTTTATTACCACGCAACATGCTCAGCCGGATTGATGTGGGGGAAGGGAGTAAAACTTAGAGGAATTGCCCGCGACTCAGAGTCAGCTTATTCGGGATATTCTGCTGAGGCGCTTGTTGCTTTTTGGAGATCATCTTGATGCTGGAGATGTCCTCCAAATCGGAGTCCACTACCTGACAAATGGGCCGTGGTAAGCAAGGAATTCATGTCACTACTGCAGGTATGAATTGGTTTTTTTTCGCGTTTTTCATCTGTTCCTTGGCTTCCACAGCTGCAAATGGCTATATGGATTTGGACCATCCCCTTTTTAAGGGTAAATACTCCCGGGAAAGGGACTCTGGTGCAATCTATGCGGGAGCTGGGGATCCCTGGAACGGAGAGAAATCAGACTTTAGCGAGTGGGGATCTCGCGTCGATCTCTGGTCGTGGGGTAAGAAAGGGATGCACAGCTAGATGGCACATTGCCTTGCACTTCAGGTGGTGGAGTGACAACCACAACATGGGAGGCAGGGAAGAGAGATCTTTACACTCACACTTATGGAGGAACTGGTAGTGCCAATACCATAATTGCTGGTTGTGCTGCGTTCATTCAAGGTGTTGCAAGGGCCAAGGGCATCGGGAATCTGGAGCCAAAACAACTTCGTCAAATTCTATACGACAGTGGAACAGAACTTCGCAGATCACAGAAATGTTGGCCGTCAGCCAGATCTTGTAAAAGCCATACAGATTCTAGAGACGTTATCCGAAGACACTTCAACCCCAACCCCTGCGCCGACCTCGACAACAACTACTTCGACAACAACTACCACTACTTCGACAACAACTACCACTACTTCGACAACAACTACCACTACTTCGACAACAACTACCACTACTTCGACAACAACTACCACTACTTCGACAACAACTACCACTACTTCAAAAACAAACCGACTCGGACAACAACTCCAAAAAACAAGCCGACAACGACAAGCTGGGTATGGATCCAAGATTTGTCGTTCTCAGAAACTTCTGTCTTTCTTCTAAAAAAGAAAGGAAGATAGAACACAAAAGGATGAATCTCAAGCTCGGCAATCGGGAATAAGCTCCATCCCTGTTGCTATTGGTGCTGCTTCGGGTGTCGCTGCTCTTTTGATAGCTGGCGGTCTCTATGGGGCGTATCGTTGGAAGCGGAATAAGGATCCGGAAATGGTTGACGGGTCATTCGAAGGATCGTTGAGGATAGAACAAAAGAATCATCCCAGTAGACGATGTACAGGTTGCGAACCAAAGTGTGCCTCAGTGGTTTATATTGTTTACATTCTTGCCATTTATCTTCTCTTTTTGTTCGAGAACGATCTGCCACACATTTCAGTGCGGCATTGTGTCTAACGACCTGAATCCCAGCAAGCAAATATTTCATGAAAAAACTTAGTTCTTTTTTATTTGCCGTGTTTTGGGACAATAAATCTAGGGACTTCTTACGCACCATCTCTTCTCAGTGACTCGCCATTTTGAATTTCATCGTGCCAAATGCATTTGCTAAATACTAGATCCGAACTGGGACAATGACTTGATATTAGCAGAGCCATATCTACTTACTGTCTCGAGCGAGGACAACGCATTTTTTGATTTAAAATTTGATTGTTGCCTTGATTGAGCACCAAGTGATCACAATGCATAAGTTTTGCCATTTGGCCATCTCTCTTCCTCCAAGTTTCAGACGTTAAGCGGCCATATTGAGCCCAAGAATCTGCTCTCTCAGGGCCCCAAGTATCAACACAACAATTAGGGCCCTGGTGGAAAAGAGTTGGCTTCATAACCGTTCCGTTAACTAGCTTCCCATGATGCTCGGAGTTGATTACCCTCACTCAGTGTAAATTGTTGATTGATCTCACAAACGACTGACTTTTTCATATCTAAAGCATAGATTTGTGTAGAAGTACACACAAGGATGACCTTGGATGTCCACCATTAGTCAATAAGTTTAATTTTTTAACAAAAAATTTCAAATACTTTTCATTGAAAAAAATAATCAGACCTCATTACAGTGGAGTGCCCGCGATGGAGGTCTGGCGATTCTTTACCCGCTAGATGGGGTTTTGGAGTTGGGTTTTGTTGAGGGCACGTAGCCTGATCACTAGCACTATGTTTACCTGTTTTTGTTCAGCCAATCCCTTACTCTTTTCCAAGTAATCTGTTAGCGGATATATTCGTTTCGTCAGTGCAGAATCAACTCCAATGCTTCCGAAGCAAGTACGGCAGAAAAATGGAAGCAATTCTTGAACCCCAATCCTTGCGTATCAGATTTCCACAATTCAAACCCTTTCGAACTGTAGCTATCTTAAACGCAAACTTGTTTCTTCCTCTTTTTCTGCTACAAACTCACACTAGAATACAACCTACGATTCTGTGTTCGATTTGTTCGTGTGGTTTGTTCTTAAAAACTTCTATGAAACATAGTTGGCACACAACCGAAGTTGATGCGCCTCTAGCAAAAATTGTGTTGTTGATGCCCCTTACAAAGAAGAGTCATACTCGTCTGGATAATTCCGTTAACGAACGAGACTTTGACCTGCTCAATAGACAATGGCAGGCTCATAGCCTAAAGTTCGGGAAAATGGTTCTATGAATACAATGAGGGCGAAACTCCTCAAGGGGGCAATATGAAATTCATAAAATGTGTGGCAGAGAAAGAAGACTGAGTTTGGTTTTGGATAAAAAATGAAGAAAAATGTCCCAAATGCATACAGGCCATAGGAAAAGCACACGAAACCAATGAGATCAATCAACAATTTACATAGAGACCAATCAACAATTTATCATCTTTTTCTTCCTCCTCTTCTTTTTTTCTTCTTTTTTTCTTCTTTTTTTCTTCTTTTTTTCTTCTTTTTTTCTTCTTTAAGACTTTTGCTCAATAAAAGGTGTTGTTCTCTCGCACCTCTTATCCTATATTTTGTGTTAATGCCCTTTGGGTCACAATGATCCAGCCTTATCGAAGAATTTGAAGCCGTAAGTTAGCTTCAGTTTCAGTTGGTTGTCGTTCAGTCAGTTGTTCCCACTCGGAATAATAATTCATTGGGTGTATTCAGACAAAAGGGGTGAATGGGAAAACATTCCTTTGAAGCCAGACGAAGTTTCGATTTTCATTCCTTCTCGGGTTGTAGATTCAGCTCTTAATGTTCGGGGTTCTCATTGTTTCGATTTCTACTGCTGGCTTCTTGCTGTGGTTGAACTCCTAAACAGTCCTGAGCGGCACGACAACAATGCACTTCTGGCTAATATATGGCTGTGGTCGCCTGTATGATGTGTATAACAGAGACGATCATGATCTGTTGAACGGATTAGAACAAAGCTGGAGTTAACCATCAAATATGCCGTACGAATAAAATTCTTCCAAGTCAGCAGATGATGAAGATGATGATATGACTATTGTGCGGGATGAGCTCGTTTATTCTTCAAAATGCCAGTGGCACTTGTTAGTTTATCATATTGTCGCAATTTAGTGGATGTCAAATCTCATAACTTCTTTTCCTATGCCAGTCTATTTCTAACTTCCTTCCAAGATGTCAGCATACAGGGGGCCACAAATTTGTTCACAAATTTTGTGCCACTGTATATGACATGCCGATTGTGATGCTTCACGCCGCAACTAAAACGGCCAAACCCTGCTCGGAGCCTTCCTTCTTGGACCCTCGGGATTACAACGAATCCAACGCCTGTCTCCACCAGCACCCCCCACAGCTTGGTGGACGACCGTTGTGTGTTCATCCTTCAATGAAGGCTGAACGCAATGAGGCATCTCATACTCTCAACTTCTCTAGAACTACAACAAAACGGAAATCAAATAATTAAATTTAAGTGAGATAGATTATCAAAATCCATTACAAACACCCTTCACTATTAGAATTCAGCGAGTGAGATGTTTAACAATGTTGATTGTCTAATCAAAAAATAAATCCAATTCAATCTTTTGGATGCCTTCATCAAGATCTTTTTCAGTCAAAATCAGCCTTACTATTTTGTGTACTCGACGCATCATCCTTCGAGTCAGTTTTAGGTGCTGATGTGAGATTCTTCATGTTTGTCATCCTTTCCTGCTTTTTCTTGGCCAGCTTTAACTGCTGCCATTGCTCCTGCTTCTTGTTTGGCAACATTCCTTGTCTTGCTTGGCAGCCTCATCAGCTTCGGTGCTGGAGGATTTGGGTGGCTTTTTTTGTTATTGTGTCTTTTGCTGTCGTGGAATCGCTTTCGCTGTTGCGCGGAGAAACGAAGTTCCATTATTGCCAATCCTCTGGCCAAGCATCCAAAAGAGCATCAGCTTGCTGAGCTATGTCATTGGCTGGAAGGCACCTTGTTGGGGGTTGGATTACAGAATGGAAGAATGCCGCAATCTGCGCTTCAAAGCTGTCTTCATTGTAGAACATTGGTAGCAGCTGGCTAACGTTAACCATCATCAGCCCAAATTGATACATCTCGGATTGTGAATTGTAGTTGCCATCAGTCAGAACCAGCTCGCCCCACTCTGCGTACCGATTCCTACCAAAGTTGACAGTTGGTCCGGTGCGACAAAATTCAAGATCAATTAAGACAAACTTTATGGCATTATCATGACCAATTCTTTTCCGGATATTTGCCCAGCGAACATCTGTATGAAGAAGATTGTTACTATGAAACTGATGGAGTGATCGCGCAATGTCACGTGCTGCTTGGACTGCTTCTTTTGTTGAAAGTGGAAGTCCGACTTGAGGGATGTACTCCATAACAACAACCAGAAATCTAGCGTTTCCTCTGACCTCTACACCAGTTACTTCATTCAAACCATCGAAGCTTCTAAGTTGCTGTACATCCAAAATGCCGGAGGCTTGATAATGCGGGAAGTTCTCATTGTCGCCTTCAGCAAGGTTGTAAGCAGCTTCTACAGCCTGAGGATCCGGTACCTTGCGGTTATCGCTGACATCAGTGATCTTCAATATTCTGTCATCTCTTTTGATTATACGTTTTTGATAATCACGAACCATCACGTCACGATGAAGATACTGATATCCTATCTGTATAACTCTTTTGTATAAATACCGACAGATATTGATTATGATCCTGCAAAAGTCGGCTCTCTGATATTTCTCTTCAATGGCAAATGTTCCTAAGAGGGT